GAGAATAAATAAAGTATTGCTTTTATTTCCAGACATTTCTACATTCTAAAACTGAATCTTGAGGAAGCCTTCATCCCTGGTACTGTTACTGGTGTCCCTTACTGCTAAAAGGGATTATCTCGGGACTCTCAGAGAAAATAGGAATGTCAGTCAACCCAGAGTAGGATTCCCCACAACCATACAATCCAAAGAACACAGCCTCATCTGTGGTGTTACCCCCACTCCTCACCTTTATTAAAGCTCTCATCTTTATTAAAGCTCTAAGTATATTAACTTCATATATCTCTCCCCAATACAACATCTTGGGTAGCAGCTGGTTTTATGACATATATCCTTCTTCCCTAGATATCTAAATATTTTCTAATATTGGCTTTGCCCCCACTATCTTCTTCTACTCTTCATACTCATAATTACAGGTGAAGCTCTCATGGAAGAAGCTCTCATGCTTATCCTGTAACATCTGTGATCTGAGGCAGGAAAAATAGAGCCAGTGCAAGTGGAAGGAACCTATACTTGATGTCAACAAAAGTTGGCATTCTATATGACTAAAGCAGAAAGCATATTTTTACTTAATATGAAATATTTTCTAGGGTGTATGATTGTTATTAACTGTCCTGTGTGAAAAGACAACAAAACCTAGGAAAGAAATCTGGATCTGCTCTTAGCAGAGTCCATATAAAGTGTGTCCTATATCCAGAGAATGTGTCTTAAACTGTACTAAAGTTACACTTTTCCAAATAGGAAAATATATAATAAACTTTAGATTATTGTAGCCAGGAACACCAATGTCGGGACATCAACAATGGAGAGCAAATATAACTTTTCCACTCATGAACAAGACTCAATCACAAAGGTCTCCATATTTAGATTTGTTTTTTTTTTTTTTTTGGATTATTCATGGAAGCTTTTTTTTTAAATTTTATTGAGTTCATTGGTACATTTTAGGGATACAGTACAGTTACATTCATTGTTGGGATCATGTACCTTTTACATGGCAAGTCTTGATTCTCATTTTTTCCCCTTACCTCTGCCCTCCCTACACCCCCTCCTCCCCTCCCCATCTGAGACATAAGGCAGGAATCTCAGAGGGGCCAGTGCTTGACTGCTCTGAATTATATAGCAACTATGTAACTATTTGTACCCACTCAATCATTTCTGTCTCCCTAGTTTCTATCTATATCCAGATGACTAATGTGGAGTCTACCAATTTCCAGGTAATGTTGCTGTGCATGCACTCTTGATTTAAGGAAAATAAGTAAAACAGGCAAAAAATAAGTTAAATCTACCTTTCTAAAACTTGCATGCTTAAGGCAAGGAAAATAAGGAAAGCATATTTAAAACATTCAATCTGCCTTCCTAAGAACTCACCTTACAGGATGTGATTCATTTCCGTCATAAAACTTGCTTCAGTTTTTATGACCAAGTTTTCACTGTCTCCATGGTACATACATACAGGCACTAGTTTTCCAGCTATCACTCAAAAGATAAATATGTGGTCCTAACAAAGAATGGTCCATTTCTAGTAAAAAACAAAAAACAAACAAACAAACAAACAAAAAAGTCCAAATGCAGAGAATGGAAATTGACATGGCTAGACGACTAGAAGGTGACTTGATTCAATGTCTGAAGGGATGGGATTGCTCTTAGATTTCCAGGCTCCTCGATGAGAGCAAAATCAACAGGAAGAGACAAGTACAAGGGTTTTCATAAGCAAGTGTGGTGCTATTGAAACCCTCTTGTTGAAACCCTCCTGAGATAGGCCAAGTCTTCCTAGAACTAATGCTTATACCTATGAGGAAAGAAGGGGGACTCACCCATTTCCTTCACCATTAGTGGTGAAACACTTACAGCTACTTGTTCTCAATTTAAAATTGACTAATATTCCCAGTGGGCCTCATCTGCTTGCACTCTCGTCCTCATTATTACTGTCTCTCACTGTATTTCTATAACCAGCTAAACATCCAAAACCCTGAACTTTGTTTAACTGTTTAGTGTTTTGAAGTCCCTTTTCCAAACAAAAACCTTCAGATTCAAAAAGATTTCCCAATTATGTAGCAATTAGATTTTTTTCTGTCATAATTTTCATTGCTTTTACATACATGAGTAAACATTCATGATATCTCATACCTTCTTTTGTAAATCAGCTTCTTAGGAAATTTCTTTTTTTAATGATACTGTTTATTATCTATTATTCTATTGACATTTCTTTTTATGAATTTTATTGGTACATTTAGTTATACAATATAATGACATTCATCTTTGGAAATTTGTACCTTTATATAATCTGTCTTTGTTCTTATTTTTTTCCTCATTCCCCTGCCCTCCCTTCAACCTCTCCTCCCCTCCCTTTAACAACTCCACACCTACCTATTAACAAAGACTTTTTTCATATTAATTCCATTTCCTTCTTTCATTTCCCCACCCCTCCCACTTCCCTTTCTGCTTTGCACATTTTCTTCTTATTGCACCTCATCTATTACACCTTTTAGTCTTTATTTATACTTTCAGTTTTTCATACTGGAGAAACTATTCAGTATTTACATGTGTGTGTCCTATTTATTTCACTTAAGTATATGACTTCATTGTGCATCCATTTAGCTATAAATGTCTCTAATCTTTCATTCTTTATGGCTGAATAGTACTCCATTTAAAAATAAAAAACATATTTTCTTTATCCAGTCTCCAATTAATAGGCAATTGGGCTGTTACCAAGTTTTAGCTATTACCAATTGTGCTGCTATAAACATGGGTGAGCATATATCACTGTGGCATGATTCTCTTCATTCTTTTCAGAATATACACAGCATGAGAATAACTAGGTCAGATGGGACTTTCAATCCTATCTCTTTGAGGTATCTCCATACTGATTTCAACAGTGGTTTCACTAGCAGACATGCCCAACAGCAGTGCAGAAGAGTACCTCTTCTCCTGTATCCCCACCAGCATTTGTTATTGGTTAACTTCATGATAACTGCCATTCTTTTTGGGATGAGGTGAAATCTCAGCATTGTTTCCATATGTTTATTTGCTATTTCTACTTCTTTGTCTGAGAAATGCCTGTTCATTTCAACTGCCCATTTTTGCATTGGGTCTTTAAATTTAGGAGGTCTGATTTTTTTCAATTCTTTCTATATTCTAGATAGTAGACCTCTGTCTGAGGAACAGCTGGTGAAAATGTTTCCCGTATTATGGGTTTTCTCTTCATACTGTTGGTGTCCTCTCTTGCTGTACAAAAGCTTTTTAATGAGCAGAGATTCCATGTTGATTGTTTGTGCTAGTTCATGTGCAACTGAGGTTTTGTTCATAAAGTCTTCTCCTATGCCAATGTCTTCAATAGTTCTACCTAACCTCTCTTCCAGCCAGTTTAGTGTTTCTGTTTTAATATTTAGATCTTTAATCCATTTCAATTTCCATTTAGTGCATGGTGAAAGATAGGGGTCTAATTTTAATCTTTGCCAAGTTGAAACCCAGTTTTTCCAGCACCATTTATTAAACAGGCTTTCTTCCAGTGAGGGTGTTTGGCTCCTTTGTCAAAGATGAGGTGGCTGAGTGTGTCTGTAGTTTTACAAATGACATGATACTCTATATAGATAACCCCAAGAACTCCATCAAAATTCTTCTAGACTTAATAACCAAATTCAATAAAGTAGCTGGATACAAGGTCAACACAAAAATGAATAGCTTTCCTGTGCACAAACAACAGACTCACTGACAGAGATATGGGGCAAACAATTCCTTCCCCAATAGTATCCCAAAAATTGAAATACCCAATAATCAACCTAACAAAAGAAATCAAAGAAAACTGTAACACTTGGAAAAAAACAGATTGAAGAGGATATCAGAAAATGCAGAGACATCCCTTACTCCTGAGTAGAAAGAGCCAACATAATGAAAATGGCCATACTTTCAAAACTGCTATCTAGATTAAATGCCATCCCAATTGAAACTCTAGCAGCATACTTCACCAACCTTGAGAAAACAATCCAAAAATTCATTAGGAATAAGAATAGACCTAAAATAGCAAAAGCATTCTCAGGCAATAAAGGTAAAATAGGGGTATCACAATCCCCAACTTGAAATGATACTACAAAGCTACTGTGATAAAAACATCATGGTACTGGCAAAGAAACAGACCTGAGGACCAGTGCAACAGAGTAGAAGATGCAGAAACACCTTCAGGAAATTACTTTTGAGGGGATAGTTTAATCGTATTTATTTGTCTAATCTTCTACAAATTGAGAATATTAATTATTTTATTGTAAGGTAAAATGTGCTTTTTAATTTGTCATTGTTTAAATATTTTTGTTTGAGCATATTTTTTAATATTCTAGGAAATTTTATCAATTTGATTTTAATATGGCTTCTGATCTTACTACAATGGTTGATAAACCTTTAAATAATCTACTTTTCTTTACAAAAAATAGCATTTCCAAAAATAATGAATAATCTATTTCAACAAAGATGTAATATATCTTATATGTTCATTATGTATGTACATACTTAGGTTTGGAATTATTGTTAGCAAACCTGTATATTACATACAATAAGCCTTGACTTTCTGCACACACTTAGATTCATTATGCACAGAGCCATTAGAAGAGTTGCAATATTTGAATAGCTACAGCCACAGAAAAAGACAACTGATAATTTCCACTGTCTCTGAACAATATCAATATGATTGGATACGGACAATTTTGTGGGCACAAGAAATAAATCAAAAAGAAAGAACATACTACCAACTTAGTTACAAAAAAAAGAGATCAACGTTTACATGGTATCTCAGATCAAGTAACCAAATTCATATTTTTAAAAAAATAAATCTATGAGAAGTTAGGTAATGCATCAAAATAGAGACACATTAATCAAATATTAGGTTTAATTTTGACTTAAAATTCCATAGAAATGCATGAAGAAAATATTCCTGAATAAATATTTCAAATTAATATATAATAATTAAATCGCCGATTTTGAAAACAATGAGTACATCTGCTCCACAGTGTTTAATTGCTCTGAGAATGTGTTAATTTGTCTCTGAGTTTAAACAGAGCTTTCTTCACCTCCTTGTTCCTCAGGGTGTACACAGCAGGATTGAGCAAGGGCGTCAGCTCAGTGTAGAAAACAGCCACAACCACATCCACAGCATCCTTGGAGTCAGGTCTCAGGTAGATGAAAACACAAGGCACAAAGAAACAAAGGACCACTATGCAATGGGAGGCACAGGTCTGAAAGGCTCTGTGTCTTCCCTCTGAGGTGCGGATCCTCAGGATGGAGCAGACAATGGACACATATGACAGCACTATCAGGAGGAAGCAGCCAGAAGCCACTACACCAATGTTCACAAAGATGACCATCTCGATGGCCGAGGTATCTGCACAGGCCAGCCTGAGGATGGGCGGTGCATCACATAAGTAATGCTGGATCTGGTTGGGCCCACAGTAGGGCAAACGGAAGGTCAAGGTGGTCTGGACAGCAGAGTGCAGGGAGCCAGTGAGCCAAGTGCCAGCAGCCAGGAAAGCGCACGTTCTCCCTCTCATCATGCTGCTGTACCTGAGGGGGTAACTGATGGCCAGGTAACGATCATAGGACATGGCTGTGTAGAGGAAACACTCGGTGCTCCCCAGGAAGTGGAAGGAATAGAGCTGGGCCACACAGCTGGGGAAGGAGATGGCCCCACCACCTGGGGACATCAAGGTCATCAGCATTTTGGGCACAGTGACGGTGGAAAACCACATGTCAACGAAGGACAGGTTGGTGAGGAAGTAGTACATGGGGCTGTGGAGGTGGGAATCCAGCCGGATCACCAGCAGGATGAGGAGGTTCCCCAGCACGGTGAGCACATAAATGAGGAGAAAGAGGCCAAATAGTGTGGTGTCCATTGTTGGTGCGTGTGGAAGTCCGGTGAGGAAGAAGGTTGTCACTAGGCTTGCATTTGACATTTCATCTCACTCTTGGTCACCTTCCCTGTGGGTATGGAAGGGGCATCACCTTTACCATTTAATCAAGACCTGGCACGCAGGTAGCGTGGCCGAGCGGTCTAAGGCGCTGGATTTAATCAAGACCTGGCAATCCATGATTCCTTTGGCAACTGCATCATCCATGGTAAATAACTTTGGAGTGATACTTAGCTTGTTATAAAGCTCATTTCGCTAGATGTTGTTATCATTTCAGCATCTCTCAGATACATGCACAGGCACACACAGAGAGATGCCTACAGATATATGCAGAATAAAGTAAGAGAAAGTATTTGCACTAGGTATCTTTTGTTATGTTAATTAGCCTTTCTCTTTGATGACAAAACCAAATATGAACACTTTATCAACAGAAATACTTCTTTTCCTCCACAGTTTTGAAAGCTTGGGCCTGTGGCAAAATAGTACACCATGGTGCGGAACACAAATCTTGTGTTCACTTCCATGTCAGAACACAAAAGAGAGAAGAGGAAGAAGCTGGGATTCTAGTATGTCCTTCCTGAGCATACCTCCGTGACCAAAAACCTCTCACTAGGCTCCATCCCTTAAATGTCCCATCACATCTCAATAATGACACATGCTAAAGGACAATGTTTTAACACATGGGCCTTTGGATATGCTTATCTACACCACAGAAATAAGTGCATTATAAATTAACACACATGTAGTGACTTAAAACCTATAAATATATGATCTCACCTTTTCTGTGGGTTGGATTAGCTAGGGTTTATGCACTATATATCACAGGTTTTACTCCAGGTCTGAACTGAGGTCTCAGCCTCGTCTGTGGTTTAGGTTCTTGTTGCGGAAATATTGATGCAGTCAGAACAACTGAGTCCTTGAAATTCTGCATGTTCTGGATGGTTGTTGACAAAGCACATCACTCTAGGTTCCTGCCAGCCACCATAGTCCTAGTTATCTGGACTTCTTGCACTATGGTGGATAATTTCATGAGAGTATTACTCTCATGTGGCTTTGACAATTTTTTTTGTGTGTGTGGTAGAATATAATCAACAAAGTCATATCCCATCATGTTCATAGCCCTGCAGCCACTCAGATAGAATGACTCTCTACCAGTTGGCAGCAATCTTGGAGCTATATCGAATTCTACCTGTTGTTTTTTGTTCTTTTTCACCAAAATTAATGGGAAACTTTAAACTGCAAAAAATTTAATTGTTGGTAAGAATGAATATTTCAAAAGTCCACAGCACACCTAAATCATTCTTTAGTGACTTCATATGTTATCTGACCTTACTAACATGATCTAGCTCACTGAGAAGTTACTATCATTGAATGTGATATGACACAGAAAAGTTTCTACCACAGTGTTTGGAATGTCCTTACTGTTTAATAAATGATAATTAATCATATAGCCTTGTGCCTTACAGCAGTGTTATAGAATTGCTTTATCTGCACATAAAGAAAGAAAATTCTCTTTGCTTTGCCAGATACTTCTAAATTTCAAAGCTATCACTTTTGAAAATCTCCATCCATGGTACTAATATTGGTGTCCCACTATTCCTTCCTCTAAATGGATTTCTCCTACATCTCTCAGAGAAAATAAGGATTTCAGTTAAACTGGGCATGGTGATACATGCCTATAATCACAGCATTTGGGAGGCTGAGGCAGAAGGATCAGTGTGAGTTCAAGACAAGCCTGGGCTATATAGTGAGTTCCAGGTCAGTCTCAACTACATAGTGAGCCCCTGTCTCAAAAAACAAAAACAAACAAAAAAAGAATGTGAGTTAACCTACATAGGACTCCCAGCAACATAGCAGATGATCTAGAAAACGCAAAAGTCTCGTCTTGGCTGTCACCCTGCTTCTCCCCACTTGACTATGCTTTATGAGGCTCTAAGAATGCTGACTTCATATGTTTTTCCATCTACAGTCTCTTGATCAGAGGCTAGTTTTCTGTCATACAACCTTTTATCCTAGATATCCAAATACATACTAATATCGGATTGTTGGAGATCATATTTTGCCTCTATCCTCATAAGTTCAATATTGTTCTCAAAACAGGAGGCAATTCTGTCAAGTTTCTTCAGGAAAATCAGAACAATGCAAGTGGATGGAATCTGCATTTTGTTGGATGTCAAAGAAACATGAAATGTTATACAAGCATAATTGTAACAGAAATGATTTTGAAAACACAAAATACTGCCTGTTATTATTTGCTATTAATATACTGATTGTTAGTAAAATTATCTATTATATTTTCTTTTGCAGGAGACCATAAAACTAGTTCACCATTTAAGAGAAAACAGCAACTGCTCTTAGTGGAGCTCAGATCAAATGTATTTTACCTCCACGGAATGTGGTTTAAACTACATCAAACATGTATTTTTAAAAATATCAGAATAAAAAGCAAAATATTAAAAGTGTTCTCAGCCATCGGCTAACTGAGACCAGGGGTCTTGCATCTTCGCTCTGTCTGAGCCATTAAATGGTAAATACACTATATTGAAATTTTGTTCACTGCAGACATGTTTTGGACTGCTTCTTGATTTCAATTTAATTCAAATGATTTAAGGGTGATAGACTAGTGACTACCACAGGTGGTCAGTGTCCAAGTTGTGCTTGATCTTAATGTGTTGCTGATTGTATCAGTTGGGATGAAGCATTGCAGTTGATTGGATGAGCTGTTTTCTCTGATGTTATGAAGATGAGAATGTCTGTGGGTCGTTAGAGACACAGAAGCTAGGGAGAAAGTATATCAGGAAAATTTGGGTGATAATCCAGAGATTAAACCAAGGACAGTCCGACAACAAAATAAAAATGACAAAACACTTAAGCAAGACACAAGAACAGACTTCCAGTTCACCAATGGCAAACAGTAGGGCAAATGAGGATGAAAAGGCTGATAGTGAACCACCAGGACACCCTGAACTCAAAGCACAGGAAGTAACAAAACAGATCAATCAGCCTCTAGAAAAATTAAAAACAGAAATAATTTCCCAGATAACCATAGAGATAGTGAGCAAAATAGAAGTCGTTATTCCAGACTCTAGAGCAGAAACTGACAAAAAAATAGATGAGCTCAGGACCACGATAGAATCCATGAAGGCCCAGCATAGGAAAGAAATGGAATCCATAAAACAGATTCAAACAGATATCCAGGAGATTAAGCACTCCATAGAAAGTGTACACAACAGAATAAAAGAATGTGAAGATAGACTCTCAGATATAGAAGATAAGATTGCAGTCAGTGACCATGAAAAGAGAGATCTCTTAAAAACAGTAAGGGGTCATGAGAAATCGATCCAACAACTCCTAGATGATGCAAAGAAGAATAACATAAGACTGATAGGAATATATGAAGGAGCAGGAGAAAATACAAATGACTTAAAAAAGCTGTTCACAGAATTAATGACAGAAAACTTCCCAAACAGAGGGGAAGAATTTGACATTCAGATAACTGAAGCATATAGGACCCCAACTAGCTACAAGAAAAAAAAAATCTACACCTAGACATATAATAATCAAGATCCCAGAAACCCAACAGAAGAACAAAATACTACAAGCAGTAAGAGAAAAGAAACAAATCACATACAAAGGAAAGCCCATCAGAATCACAGCAGACGTTTCAACACAAACCCTTGGGGCAAGGAGAGCCTGAAATGACATATTTCAAGTACTAAAAGAGAACAACCTCCAACCTAGACTGATGTATCCAGCAAAACTCTCTTTCAAAATGAAAGGGGAAATAAGACACTTCCACGACAAAGAACACCTGAGAAACTACATGAACACCAAACCAGCACTACAAGGAATTCTAAACAAGATCCTAGAAAAAGACAATGAAGGCAACAACACCATGAGGCCCAACAGAGCAAATCAAATAGGCAAGGCAAGAAATTAAAAGGAGAAGGTGAAAAAGTAAAAAGAGTCAACAAAAGGCCAATAATATGTCTATAATAAGTCAGTACATATCAGTTATAACAGCAACGTCAATGGCCTCAACTCACCAATCAAGAGAAATAGACTGGCAAAATGGAATAAGAAGCAAAATCCAACAATATGTTGTATACAAGAAACACACCTAGTGCAAAAAGAAGCCCATAGACTGAAAGTGAGAAGATAGAAAAAAATTCTCCTTGTGACAGGAGCCCAGAAAAAAACAAGGGTAGCAATCATATTTGCAGACAAAGTAAATTTCAAACCAAAACTGATTCTAGTATTATTAATGTAGGATGGTACTGTATCATATCTCTATGAATGTAAAATATCTTATACCTGCTTTATGATACATAGTAGGGACCATGCTTTATCAGAGCTACATTTAATGATATTACTCTAGAACGTTCTGTTTCCAGATGATGATTAAGATGCTAATAAAAAACATTTTGCCAGGTACCACAACAGCAACAGAAAAAAAAGGTATTATAATTACCTACAAAGTTCTTAAATTTCTAGAACTGGGAAAACTCTCAAATGTCTACTGCAGCACCTGAACTTAATCACCAAGACACCTCTGTATTCATCTTATGAAATAGGAAATTTTCACCAGATGAAGTTCAGGGTAGCCTGAGACTTAAGTCATGGATTTCAATCAGAGGAACCAATATTTCACTTGCTTCCCTATTGTAATCACTTGATGACTATTTGTAGCCACTCAATTACTCTATCAAGAGATGCTAAATAATTAAAATTATGATGAAGTCTAAAAATTTCCACGTAACATTGCTGTGCATGCATGTGTAAGGCAAGGAAAGATAAGGAAATCAAATTTAATAAATTAAATCTACTTTACCTTACAGGATGTGATTCATTTCAGTCACAAAACTTGCTTTAGTTTTTCTAACAAAGTTTTCACTGTCTATATGGTACACACAGGCACTAGTTTACCAGCTATCACTCAAAGGATAAGTGAATGATCCTGACAAAGAGTGATCCATTTCTAGTCAAGAACAAAGCTCTTCCAGGTGCAGGGAATGGGAGCCAACATGTCTAAATACATAGAAGCT